AAATATCATTAAACACCCATTGGAAAAAAAAAATTTTTTTTTTTTTTTTTTTTTTGTATAAATTTTCGACCAACCCCAGTGCGACACGTCACTGGGGGTCGTCAGTGGGGGTCATCCCACTTGGGTCTGTAGCATGGCCCTACTAACTATCCCTTCTTTTTTCTTTTTCTTTTTTTCTTTTTTTTAATGTGGTTTTGGAGTGACTGACTTTCTCTACCTCTAGATATTTTTCAGAAGAGAAACAGATTGATGCATTATCAATAATGTTAAAAATACAAAGACTAAACACAAAATATGATATAAATGTTTTTCAAAAGATATGTCTCCCATCATGTGAGCTTCATTTTTTGTCAAACATCTATGTCATATTTTGTGTTCAACTATGATACAGACCACTAAAATAAGACCATTAAAAGCAGCTCTAATGACGTGGCATGCCTAAAAAAAAATTAAAATAGAAAGAAAAGAGGAAAAAGACAAAACCCAAAGAGGAAAAGGACAATTTAATGCTCTTTTAGTGCTCTAAATCATTTTTCTTTTGTGTTTCTTACCAATTAGGAGGTAGGAGCTTTGTTCTAACTCTTAGCTTCTCTTTATTGATGTATTTTTCATACTCCGTATATTTTCATCAATAAAACTCTCACTTTGCCGTTCAAAAAAAAAAAAAAATTGTGTTTAATGTCTATAAATATTTAACAAATCTTTTAAAAATACATCTATCTAATGATGATGACGACCTGAATAATAGTTTAAGAAGTATAACTCATCATACATGTATGTTAATATGTACCGAGTTATTACTTTTTGTCAATTATTTGGGGGTAGGGTAGGAAGGATATATTATTGAAATTTTATCAAATTATTTTTTTAGCAAGTTGTTTCGAATTCTTTCACATAAACATTGATGGACAGTACAACTCACTTTAAATTTGGTGGTTTTTGGTGGTTTTTATTTGGTGGTTTTTATTTATTTATTATATAAAGAGTACAGTACAACTCACTTTAAATTTGGTGGTTTTTATTTATTTATTATATAAAAAGTAGTGGTTTAAAATTACAAATAAATTTATAGACTTACGATCAGTACAACTCACTTTAAATTTGATGGTTTTTATTTATTTATTATAAAAAGAGTAGTGGTTTCAAACTAGAAAATAAATTTATAGACTCACAATCAGTACAACTCACTTTAAATTTGATGGTTTTTATTTATTTATTATAAAAAGAGTAGTGGTTTAAAATTACAAAATAAATTTATAGAATTTAAAAATAGAATGATGTAGTTGTACAAAAATATTACATACTCGTCAATTTTTCGATACATAAAATGAAAAGCAACTCCCTTTCTAAAATATAGAATTTTATGTCGGAATTATCTTAAAACAAACCTAACTTGTACATTTTTTTTTTAATCTTATCATGTTATGTTGTTTTCAATTTGTATCCAATGTATGTAAAAAAATTTCATATGCAATTAAAAATATAAATTGTGCGAAAAAATTAATATTTTCCCCACAAATTAAATTTCATCATGGTAATATCTATCAGATTAAATTATTCATAAAAATATGAAAATTTTATGATAACACTAGAGGGGTTTAATTGAATGAAAATTTGATTGAGAGAGTTAACTAAGAAAAGATGGAATTTGGCACATACTCTGCAAACTATGTAAAGATGAGAAATTTATAAGGTGGGAGAAATGTATATGCAAGCCTAACCTGAGGAAGCAGCCATCATAAATGACACGAGCACCGTTGGCGGCGGAGCAGTTGCGAATCTGAGAGACAGCAGCATCCAAACAGGACACGCAGTCGGCCACAGAGAGGTAGTCCCTGCACTGAACCATGGCATAGACAGGGTCCGATGTCCTTGCCTGCTGTGCTGTCGCAAACTTTTTGTTTTGGCTCGATATCTGATTCCTCAGGCCTGAGAATGTCGCGTTCAGGTTGCTGAAAAAATCTGAGAGATTTGTCGCGTTGTACTGACTGCAACCTTTGTTCAGAAGATTGATTTCTGGATCTGACATGGCCGACTCTAAAATCAATGCAACTTCTATTATCACCACCGCCATCAACCACCACCGACGACATGGTAGCATAAATGGTGTCTTCATTGTTGTCGTCTCTAACACACACTAACTAGTTAGGAACTCAAAAAGAGCATAAATATTCGAAAGCTAAGGTGAGACTGTGAATTGACGCAGGACATGATGAAATTCATAACCACCCACATATGGTATTTATTACACAAGTGGTTGACCACACCTAAATAAACCCTTTTTTTTTTAACGGGAAAATTGCAATTCAATGATTGTTTTTAAAGATTAAAATTTTGTGGTTCGAATGGCTTAAATCTGTCAAAACGACGTCGTTTTAAGTGATTTGAGCTACAAAATTTTGAGCTACCTAGCATTGTTGGTTTTCAAAATAAATTTTAAATTTTATTAATTTTAATAATTGAAGGGTAAACTTTTCCATGATTTTTTTTTTTTTACTGATTTGCAATTTTATTTATTTATTTACTTTTTAAAGAGAAGACTTGTAATTCTCAAAAAATAGAATAGAATATAATATAATAGAATGATATTATCGGGGATGAAAAAGACAGACAAATACTATTTATAGAGAATATATAGAAGATCTCAACATAAAGATGGGTTCTATATGTGTGGATTCCACCTATGAGAATTATTGTACATTTTCTATATGATTTTTTATTTATATGTATAACATTAAAAGATATGATGAGTCATTAATCTGTGGGAATGTGAGACTTGGAAGGAAGGCCCATTTTCTTTCCTTTTCTTTACAATAGGGAGAGGCAAATGATGAGTCATGACCTACAACTGCTCTGGCGTTTCTTTTTTGTCTTCGCCTCTAATTCCTCAAGCATTGAATATACATACATATCCTCAGCTATCATTCTATGTGCTAGTTTGAAATTCATTAAATTTTATTAATAATAATTCAACGTGTTCATATTGGCCTCGTTTAGAAAGTTGATTATTTTAATAAGTTTTATTTTTTTATTATTTTAGTAAGTTAAAATATTTATATTTAAAAAGATTGTTGGATTTTTTTTTATAATTAGATGTAATATTTGTGAGAAAAAAAAAAGTGAAATGATTATAGATTTGATATATTATTTTGTCTTATTAACTATTTTAACTTATTTTATCTTTTTGTGAATTTTAATAAATAAATAAATAAAAACCTTTGCCATTGTGGTCTTATATAGTAATTACCGATGCATAGTTGGAGCTGATCTGGCCCATTTTAATTCGTTGAATGGTTAAACAAATTTCTCCCATCAATTGTCTAAAAGATAATGCTATGTGTCAATCGGTATATCAATTAGTATACTTTTAGATGTAATATAATTTTAAATATTTTGAGTATTTATAATTTGTATAATTGATGGAATCAATAATAATGTCATAATATATATATATATATATATTAATATATTAATTCGTTTACAAATTGATATATGTAACACTACCGTTGTAAAAATTATCTAGTAAGATAGGAAGATCACATGTTTATGTGCCTGGCCAATGAGTGGTTATAGTTTATCTATTATCTCCTCATTATTAGGACTATGTATATATTTAGCCACTAACTCAGAATTGGTTGTTGGTAATGGGGCCAATATCTCATTCTGGAAGGATGGTTGGCTAGGTGGTGACTGTCTTCAATCCCTCTTTCCTAGACTATTTTGTCTTTCTTCTGATAAAGATGGTTCTCTTAAAGATTTCATGGATAGAAAAAGTAGCTACCCCAACTGGAACTTAACCTTTAGGAGACCTCTGTTGGCTTGGGAAGAGGAGGAAGTCCAAAATTTGCAAGTCCTACTGGGCAATGGGCCATTATTAAGGCATGAGGTGGAGGATGGTATGAGATGGAAAGCTTCGAATCAGGGTGCCTTTAGATCATGTGACTTATTCTGTTGGTTGCAGTCTAATAGAGGTCCAGTTGTGTCCATGCCTAAACTTATCTGGAATAACATCACACCACCAAAAGTTCAATTTTTTTCTTGGCTGGCTTGGAAAGGCAGAATCAAAACATCTGTGTTCCTTCATAGCATTGGTGTTCTTAGAGGCGAGGCTGTTACTCAGTGTCACTTTTGCAGAGAAGAACCTGAGTCCCTTAACCATGTATTACTCCTTTGCCCCTTTACCTGGAAAATTTGGTCTGACATTATAGATTGGTGGGGTTTTCTCTGGGTATGTCCAGGCTCTGTGGTGGCCTTACTAGATTGGTGGAGTGGCACTAAAACCAGAAAGAAGGAACTCCAAATATGGAATGCCTTGCCACTTGCTGTTTTATGGTCAATTTGGAAGCTCAGGAACGACTGTGTGTTTAATAGTGCTTAACCTAACTCCCTGCAGCTTTGTGAGCTTATCAAGATTAGAGTTGCCATTTGGTTGAAGAGTCACTCTATTGGGAACTCTTGCTCTTATTCCATCCATGATTTTATATTTAACTTCAACCAGACCAGGAGGTGCCTCTGATGAATTCTGTTTCTGTCAAGTGCTCTGTGTGTGTGTTCTGCTTCTGTTTGTGTCTTCCCCTCTTGGTTATTTTCTGCGTGTTTTCTGCTTTTGCTGTGTGAGCTCTGTTTCTGTGTTCTGCTCTGCATTATTCCGGGTGTGATTTTGGGGCATTTGGCTTCTGTGCTCTGCTCTGTGTTCTGATTTTGGGGCATTTGGTTCTGTGTTCTGCTCTGTGTTGTTTGCTGTTGCAGATGCACATAGGAGTTTGGCTGGTCTGTTTCTAGTGTGAAGGTAGAAGGTGTCTGTCACCAATATTTGGAAATATTTGGAAGGCTGATGCTGGTCTGATCTGGTTGCTCCCTTGGTTGTACCTGTCTGTTGGTCTGCAGTTGCATGCTCTACTGTGCTCCCTTGGAATTATTGGAGGTTGAAGCTACTATGTAGTTTGTATCAGTTTGAAGAATTATGCTCAATGTTTGGTTCTGGTGCATTGATAATCTTCTATTCTGGTCTTTTTATTGGAGGGTGGCATTTGGAATGGTCTGAGGCGCTCTGCTGTGGCTGCTGCTGTGTGGATTGTTTCTTGTTTAGTGGTAGAGCATGCTTATTCTTCTGTTTAGTCAATGTTTTGGTGACTGGTCTGGTTTTTCTTTTTTTTTTCTTTTCCCTTTCTCTTGCTTTCTCTGGATTGGTTTCTCGCCAATCTTGGGTCAAGTGCTAGCAGATGATTTTGCTTCCCTAGCGGTGCCAACCTAGTTGGGATTGCTAAGGCCTGCGGTGATGCTTTTGCACTTCCCTCTTTATTGTTGTAAGTTGTATGCTTGTTCTGCTTTCTTCATCAATAAAGCTCTCTTTTGCTTATCAAAAAAAAAAAAAAAACTATACAACTAATATAGAATTCCTAAAAGATCGGATAATTACTCAATCAATTGGTTCGGAGCAACAGAGGCGGACAAAGTCTCTTTGAGGCCTTTAGCAAAAAAATATACATGGATAATTCTACTTACACACTATTATTTCTCTCAATACACACTATTTCTCCAATTTTTTTATATTACATTTCTATCCCTCAAACAAATGACCTATATACTCATCTTTCCCTTTCAACTCAACACCGGCGTTTGCCACCTCATCCCAATCCCACCACCTTTAGTGGCTACCCTCCCTTGCCACTTCATATCTCCAATAACCCCATTAACCAACCATCCTAGTCTTTTTTCACCACTTCTACCTCTACCTTCACCTTTGATGCCACATCTCCCACTGCAACAACCCTTTAATCACTCCTTCAACAACCCCATCCCTTTTTCAATCATTGGTCTCTATCTCCCTCTACCATTTTCCTACAGAGAGAAAGAGAGAGAGAGAGAGAGAGAGATCTGGGTTTTCTAGATCTAAGGTTTGAAAAGAAAATGAACAAGAGAGATTTAGGAGGTTGCGATAGTGCAACGATGGTGATGGAGGTGCAGTGCTGATGCTACAATGGGGAAGAGAGATCTAGGTTTTCCAAATTTGGGCTTCGATGATAACGGCGAGGGGTTGTGTAGATGGAAGAATAAGGTAGATGTAGAAAGAGGCTAAATGAGAGACGATAGTTGTAGAGGGCGATCGATGGTAAGAGGTTGGTTGTCAGAGTTGGAGATGGTACAACAAGTTAGGTCTTAAATGACGAAATTTTTTTGTCTCCAAAGAGCTAATTTCGTCACTATAGATATTTGTGAGGAAATATTTTCGTCACCGGTTTCGTCATTGAATGTTTGTCACTAAAAACTACCGTGACAAAAAATAATTTCGTCACCAATGAAATTACTTCAGTGACGAAATTTTTTATCACCAACAAAACAACATTTTGTCATAAAAAATTCTCATTTTCGTCACCAAATAGTTATTCAGTACCATATTTTTAACTTTAGTTGACGAATAAATTTGTCACACATGTTGATCATTGATGAGGAAATAATTTCGTCACAGTAAAATGTAAAGGTGACGAAATTTTTTGTCTTCAAAAATCATACATGAGTAACGAAATATATTTCGCCACAAATATATATATACGTGACGAAATTTTTAGTCACCAAACAACAAAATCAATGAAATATTTCATATATAAATTACAATAAATTTTGTCACAAAAAATGTTTATTAGCGACGAATAATTATTTTGTCATAATAACAAGTACAAATGACGAAAAAAATTCGTCACTGAACTTGTTCCATATTTTATATTTCAATTTAAATTATTATTTCACAAATATCCCTACTCATATCACAATAGCCTTTTAAATGTACTAAAAAATCCACTAACTATTATACACCACTCCACAAAATAATTCACTAAACAATTTATATCATAAATGAAAATATATCCATCAAACAAATTTAATAATAATTCATTAAGTATAATAAAAAAAACCATCATAACAAATTCCAAAATGAACTAACGCGGAGTCCAACAAAAAAAATATCAGTCAACTAGGTTTAAAACTAGAACAAGTATCAGTTCAAGAAAAAAAATTCAACACTTGATCTTGATTTGCAAGTATGCTTCTAATAAACGTCATCAGAAACCAATCTGCAAAGAAATTAAACAAGGAAAACATTAATATACTATGAATTACATCTAAACTCACATATAAATAATTTTATTTTATAAACCAATTTAGTAGAAATGCATATAACAATCCAAAACTTTAAAGTGTTGAGGTGATCCTTGATGATAAAGCAACACGGATAACAGAAGATGCCAAAAGATTGCAGGAATATCATATATCACTATCACTAATGCCAGAATATATTTAATAGCTTGAAAATACAATATAGCATTGAGATACATTTGATTCATGACAATGGGTCGATGACTTCTTCAATGAAGTAAATTTGATAAGTGGAATTCAACACAAGAACCTTATTACTAATAAGCTTCACTTCACTTTCGAAATCAGCCTTTGCTCTACTCGAACTTAGAGCTAGTTTCTTCACTGCAATTATATTTCCATTTTTCAGAGTACCCTGTTCAATGACTTAATGATGAGGTTGAGAATAAATATATATTTATATTTATTTTTTTTAACCGAAATTACTGATATGAAAGAAAATATTTATAGTAACTTACCAAAGAGTTACTAGTTCCATCAAAGCTTCTATGTTGATCAGGAGAATAATCACAGATCTACAAGCTCAGTAGTCATCCAAATAAGCACACGAGTCTTTGGTACTCCACAAAATGAATAATATTGAAAGAAACAAAAATAAAATAAAATAAAACAGACATAAAGACATGGCATCAAACACTTACAGAATCTATAGATAGATTTCTGTAGTAACTTAAAAAAAAATAAACAAAAAGAAGAAGAAAAAAAAGCACAAAACCCACCAGACAGAAACCTGAAAGAAATAGAATCACCTTCTTGAAATGCAAAACGAAAACTATACTTTTAGAGACTTGACTTTGACTTTTAGAAAAAGAAGAAAACTAGAAAAAGAATTACATTGGTATTTACAAGCTATAGAGGCTCTTGCAGTTTTGTTGCCAATCCAATTTTCAACAACCCCTCTCCAATTTAGACAAAAAGGAGAAGAGCTAAAAATATATCAATAATTTTAAAGAAATGCAGCCATACGTATCACTTCCTTGCATCCCAAATTTGTCTAATTTCTAGTTTGGCTAAAAGACAATCAACTTTGTGACTCAACCAAAATAAATAACTGGGACAAGGTTTGTGGAAAAGGGGAGAAACAACTTTGAGGAAAAACAAGAAACAAAATCTCCCATGTCTATATATGTGTTTTTTTCCATTCCACCCTGGATGAGGTGTAAGATTAGAGCAGCAACCAAAGTTATGTTCTGGATAAGCTTTCTACTCACTTGATAACATTTTATTGATGCAAGAGGTGGTTAGAGTTTATCACAGAAATGAAGGACCAACAAGGTGTGTGTTCAAAATTGATTTAATCAAGGCCTATGGCTCTGTAGATTGGAATTTGTTATTGGTATCTATGACACATGGGATTCTTCTCTGCTCAGTTTGTTGGCTGGATTAAGGTGTACATTTCCACTGTTATGTACTCAGTAGTAATAAATGGAGAATTAGTTGATTATTTCCCGGCAAAAAGGGGGTCCAAGGCAAGGTGATCCTATGTCCACCTACTTGTTTCTCAATTGTGATGGAGTGTTTCTATAGAATGCTGCAGCAAAGAGTGAGAGAAGGTGGTTTTACTTTCCATTGGAAATGTTAGGTTCAATTGGCATTTGCTGATGATCTATTCATTCTATGTGAAGCTAACAGGGGCTCTTTCCAAATCATTAAGAGTATGTTATCTCAGTTCCATCTTCTATCTGGCCTACAACCTAATCTTCAGAAACATAAGTTTTCTTTGTCCCTTCCTCTGTGGAGTTAGTAATGAATCTAACTAAGTCTGATCTTTTATCCATTTTGCCAATACCATAAGGGAAATTGACGGTTAATTATTTACTGTTTCCTCTGATTTTCTATAAACTAAAAGCTGCAGAGTGTGAGCAACTTAATAAAAGAATGATGAATAGAATCAACAGTTGGACAACTAAATTTCTGTCTTATGGTGGTAGGCTCCAACTTGATCAATCTGTTCTTTTCAGCAGCATATAAGTTTATTGGTCCTTCGTTTTTATCCTTCCTTAGCAAATCTTGAAAGAAATAGAAGCCATTACGAGAGACTTCCTTTGGTTAGGGGTTGAAAACCACTTAACATATGCTAAAGTAAGTTGGGAACAAGTTTTCTGTCCAAAAAATGGGGGAGTTCTGTGAATTAAATCAATCATTCATTAGAATCAAGCTACAACTATGAAACTTCTTTGGGCTATATGCAAAAAGTCAAATATCCTATGGGTAAAGTGGATTCACACATATATTATCAAATCTAGATGCTTCAGGACTATGCAAGTCCCTTCTAATGTGTCTTTGACAGTGAGGAAACTTTTCAGTTTAAGAAGAGAAGCTATACCCCTAATTAAGAAAGTAATTGGCAAAGGAGAATCCACCTTCCTTTGGCTTAAGAATTGGCACTCTTTGGGACCACTGTACCTGAGAGAAAAGAACAGATTGAGAGAAAAATATATACAAATGTTTAGAAGCCAATTTCAGATGGAGATGGAGAATCCACCTTCCTAATGACAGCAAGATTGAGAGAAAAATATATACACGATGTTGTTTCTAAAGTTATAGCTCATTTCTCCAGACTTCCTATATTCTTTAATGTCTTTCCATTAACAATAGAGTGATGAAAATATGTCTGACATACTGGTGTATTGAGTCAAAGTCAGATTGCCTATTCATAGTAAAGTACATTTCCAAATGTTTAGAAGCCAATTTCAGATCAGGAACTTACACAATAAAATATCGCTAGCAAAAACCAGATCCCAATCCATCAAACAATTGAGCAAAGTTAAAAGACATACAAACGAGGGATCTACTATACCTATCATGTCATATTGTTCATTCCCTAAGTCTAATTTTACAATGAAAAAAAAAATAAAAAAATTCCACCAATCATGAGAATGAAGGTCAAAAGCATCAAATCTTATTGATAGTCCTCACCAATATTTTCTTGGATCTATCTTCCTTATCGTATGAAAGAGAAAAAGAACTCACGCTTAATGTGAGGAAGGACGGGAGAAATTTCATTAACTCTACAATTATGAGCTATGTTCTCTGCAATTTCTTGATCATCATAGTCTGAGGTAGTGATGTCAAATTCCCTCTTTACTTTGTTTATTTGTGTCTTCACACCATTATCTCCATTAATTCCAATCACTTTACCTTACTAAAAGAGATGTCGGTGTAATTACACTAAAAATATGGGGCTTATTATTTCTTTTCTTTCATTATTTTATTTTATTTTTTCAGATCTTAGGAGAATGGATCCATTCTTTTATTAGTTTTACATGAACAGAGGAGCATTAGCCAATTCAACAGCTGATCAACACAACAAAGTGAAAATTCAACAGTATTGATCAATAATTGATGAAAGTAAAATTGAAAGATTGGATTAGTACCTGAAACAATCCCTAAAATCCCAAGACTCTCTCTCTCTCTCTCTCTCTCTCTAAAAACCCCTATTTCTGTCTCTACAAGCTAAAAGGGATCAACTTTCCACTCAACATTCTCTTCTCTTTCTCTTCTTATTCAATGGAAATGTTAAAACACTCATTTTATTTTGACTATATAAAGCAACCAATCATCAAAACAAAGATAACCTATTTGCCTAAAAACTTAAGGAGTAGCTATATTGATCTTGATCATTTGCAGAGGCAATTGCCATTTTTGTAACAAAGCTTTTATGCAATCCATTTTGACCCTAAACCCTTTTAACATAACATAACATAACATAGCAAAGTCCCAAGAAAATAAATAGACAGTAAATCAATTTCATCTTCCACATGAGAAATCAAACCTAACAATTTCCAAATGCATCAGAATTCACAACTGATTTAAATCCATAGCTTTAAACAACATTAAGTTAAAATTTCCATGAATCAAAGCAACAACTCTATGAAGCTAGCCGTATTTTCTGCTGATTGATGCGTAAGTCTCTTCGACAGGTTTCGCCAATTGCAAAAGAATGCCAAAAACTCTGTGAAGCAACAACTCTGTTTGGAAGTTGAGAAAGTGACGAATAGATGAATTTGTAAACACAAACAAAACAAGAGAGAATGATAGGCCTTCAACTAGAAGTGACTCTGCTGCCATGGGCCAAGACAAGGGGCTGAACTCAGGAGCAGTCAGTAGTGGTTTGGACAGTAGGCTGGACTGGATGATGGACCAGACAACAGAGCCAGATAACCCAGATAACAGATCAATTACAGCTCAGTGACATGGTGCGGGATTAGCAGAAGATGTTAAAGTTGTTGAGCAGGATAAGCGAAAGTGGTTAAAATAGTTGAGAGATATTGTATAAGGAGGGAGATAAGGAGAGAGGAGAGATTATTATTTTTTTTGTAATGAAGAAGCTTGGGATCTAACATTTCCCAGAGTTGGAACCCAGTTTCAATTCATTATAATTTTCCATTGCTATCTCAATTTCAGTCTCAATCAGTCTCAATCTTTTCTCTCAATTTCCATTTTCATCACTCATCTTATCAGAGAAAGAGAGAATGGAAGAGAAAGAGAGAATGAGATAGAGAAACTCACCACGCTGGAGAACCACCGTTGTAACGCAGACAGAGATCGTCGCCGCTAGATCGTTGCCTTTGCAAAACCTATGGAGATTGTTGCCTTCGCCTAACCTGTCATAAGGAAGAAGAAGGGCTTCCCTTTATAAGGCCAAAACCTAAGTGCAACAGCTTCTTGAGGAAGCTAACAAGAGTGCATATCCTCAATACACGTGTAATTGGAGGATCCTGTTGTGCCTCCCAGCTGGCACTAGGCTGCATACACCTTCTGTAGAAGCTCCGGAAGGTCCTTCGGCATAAGCAATAAATTTGCCTGGTTCAGCACAAATAAAGTGCCGTCGGCACAATAAATGGCCGGATCTGGCAGCAATCAATTGGCCGGCCGGCAAAACAGAGTGCCGATGGGTGGCCGGTACGGTCAAAAAACACGTGCCGGTGGATATCCAGATTGAAGCCCGGAAGTTTAGCTTTCCAGATGGCAACCTTGCATTATAAATTCCTTTCCTGTGCAAAAGTTATGCCTTTTTTCCGTGAAGACCGCGCAGATTCGATCCAACGCGGGATGGATGCCCGACTTCAAACTGATCATTTCCCCCACCCGGCTTTTGGCCTCTAGGATAATCTTGAGTGCAAAATGAAGCCCTGGAAGTCTTTTTCCAACGATGGTGGCCCATAGCTAAATTCTCACAAGTGTACAGATAGATAAGCCCGATTCAGCGCAGGGGCCGACTTTCTCCTACCCGGATTCATGCGAACTTCTCCCAAACTAGATTTCTCCTCTCCTTTCTCTTTTCTCACTCCCAACCCCTAACAAAGTGTTTTGAAAGCATTTGCCTCTCTTCTAGCCCGAAGCAAACTATTCTTTGACCCTGCAGCTATCTCTCAACACCGATGCAAAACATTCAGTATGCCCAAGTCTTAAGGGCGGTCATAAAATGGGGTGTCTACATGCCTAAGTCAGAAAAACTTGACAAATAAGACATAAGCTC